ACACTGGAAAAATTACACACTGCTGTTCAATCATTCTTGAAAATCAATGTGCATAAAAAAATACCCCCGCCAGCAAACCTGCAGACTTAGCGAATTTCCATTTGCCTGATTGGATTTACACTAAATCCTTAAAAATATCACATTTGTTCCCTATTTAAACAGAATTAGTTTAACAAGTACTTAGGTTTGCTGCAACAGGGAGGGTTAAAAAGTTTTTTTTAAATGTAAAATGTTAAAAGGTACTGTAGTTTAGTAACAAATTAATGTATTTTCCAAATTTTATCAAAATATGTTTATAAACAAGCAAACTACAACGGTTGACTTATTCTCCATAAGAATAACATGGGAATTTTAAAATTAAAATTTTTTTGAATTTTATCCGTAACAATTAGGCGCATAATAACGCTTCAATATACTAAGTTATTTGTTTTTTTAAGCTCTACAAAATGGCTTAGAAAGAAATTGTGAAATTTTGTCTTTTAATGGTCAAAAATGGGAAAAACCTATTTTTACCCCTAAAACCCCCGTTCCCATGGTCCGATCATGCTGGTTCGCGAACTCATTCAAGTTTATCCCGCCTTACACCTTCAAACTAAATTTTATCAAAATCGGACAAAAATTGCTCAAGTTATCGTGCGGATGGACACACATATATCTCTATATATAGAAATATAAAAATTTGAACGAATGGTGTTTTTGGCCTCTGGGGACATAAAAATGAAAATGTAAATCGGTCCCGGGCCTAGGTCTTACCATGAGACCTACGGTAATAGCTACTTCCCTATAGGGAAATTTGCTAAAATGTGTACAAACAACATACATACAGTATACTGTAAATGGACTAGGTTGTCACGTGATAATGGTGCTTGTCATTCAATCCTAAGGTCGCAGGAATGATCTCAAGCTAAGACAACTGTGAACACATTGGCCATTTGTATACCAATTGATGTGCCCAACAAAAAGTTGAGATTATAGGTCGGCCGCTTAGAAAGCAACCTCCTCTTACTTGCGCGACAAATGCTCACGAAGGTCGATATCTGTCTGACCGACCCAGCCTACTAGTAATAAGAACAGGGTTTTGACCATTGCCTATCAAGAACTTACAGACAATTGTTTAGTTGTCAATAACTGTCAGTTACAATTGAATAGTTACAGACAATGGTACACACTAAATAAAATACAGAGATGACAAAATACTAACTTTTTTGAAAAATGTACTTTTAACATGAATTTGTTCGCTTTATCTTAGTGTGGAAGTTATTTGAAGTATAAGGGACTTTCGGGAAACAAAGCTTAGTCATGGGATTGATTGTTCGGGTTTGTCATGAACCCATCCGGAAATCAGTAACAACTTCCTTTTAGTGTTAAGAATAGCTTGGTCTTGATTACTGGATGGATAAATTATTTTCATTAGGTAATTCATTTAAAGCTACACTCCGTTGTATTGTCATCTTTTACTCATACTTAAAATATGGGTTAAAATACCCTTATAGGTGGTGTCCATCTCAATTAATTGATAATATGTGATGTGAAAATTGAATAGGTACCTCTTGTCAGGAATTTTTGATTTTGAGTTTTATAATATATTTGAATTCCTTATTAAATTCCGAATCACTTGGTGCAAGTCCCATGCATCTACGATTTGTTGTAGTTGTTAAAGTTATAGGACTTTTAAATTTTGTTATGGAAAAGGGTCATTTAGAGAAAAACTATTTTGAAAGTTCAAATACGCAAAAAACAGTTTTTTTCTTATTTAAGAAACAATTTTGGTATCAAAAGAAAGCTGTTAATGTCCTATTTGGAGGCAATGCCAAATTTTGTCTTAACTCACAGTATAGTATTCATTTAAATGTTTTTTCACTACACTACTATGAGTTGAGCTTTTTTCGTTATGTGTTTACAACCTGCAAAATTTTCAACAGCTGTCAATTGTTTACTACCGAAAGTAACATTGTTTACAACCGAAAATTTTCCACTGTCAACAATTTCAAATATTTGTTATTGTTTTATCAACTGTTACAATTTTCAACAACTTTTACATCTACAATTTGATATTTTAACCGATACTGCCCTGTTCTATGTTAAGAGTCCTTGGAGCCTAGACATTGTAACTCGTTAAACAATTAAAAAACTACAAAGACAATTTCTTATCTCACAGTATATTAGATATTTAAATTACAATCACTCTGATGTTTGTAAAAATATTTTGAGATGGTAAATAACTCTTCAGCGGCTGTTTGAAATTAAGGAAATTAACATTGCTCTCATGGCGGGCAAATCCAAGATGGCCGATAGCTTCCATGGACTCCCTTGGAGAACAATTCAAAACTACAAAGAACATTTCTAATCTCACAGTATGATCATACTTCATACTTTCATCAATCATACTTTCTAATCTCAAAGTGATCATAAGATCACTTTGATGTTTGAAAAAATATTTTTGGACAATAAATAACTCTTTGAAATTACAGCAGCTGTTTGAAATTATTCAAGATGGCCGCTAGCCTCCAAGTACTCTTAAATGAGGTATAAAAATCGATAAAAAAACTAATTTCGATATTTTTGACCTTAATTACTTATATCGGCTGCACTAAAAATTTTGCAACACCGACAAGAGGCCCCTTTTCGCTTTCCACATCACATATAGTTAATTTATGATTTTGTTAGGTGTTTTTAACACATTCTGTCAGACATTTTCCCCCTACATTACCTGACAAAGTGGGCTTTCTTGCACTGATTATAGGACGCAAAATAACTAATTCCTGCATTAACTTACTTTGCTGCACTCATTTCACTTTGCTGCACTCCAGTATTTCAACTAAACAACACAAACTATAGTTCGGCCGCTTAGAAAGCGACCTCCTCCAGCATTGGTTTAGCATTAGCGTGCAGGTCGTTTTCTAAGCGGCCGAACTATAGTATGCTTGTATTAGGCATGTAATATGTATGCTTGAAAACATTGGCAACATTTAATGATACTACAACTACGATCAGCTGGTGCAGTATTTCCCAACCTTTGACTTACTTAACAAACCTGTTGCGTGTTAACGTTAACATTCTATTGTCGTTCAACGCTTAGATTTAACCTAACTTAAAAGTGTTGTTCAGTGTTTGAAAGACTAATTAAATTTATATTCTTCATAGTAACTGTAGGAAAAATATAATGTGGAACACGAGCGCAAAGTACTACTTTGCACACTAGTTACGCAAATAACTATTGTTAAGTACAAGGGCTATCCAGAAAGTAGATTACGTTTTGGAATGAAGGATAAACAAAGTCTTGATAAAATATTTTACTACACACAAATGAAAGCCACACTTAAATACTACTTTTCAACATAATCACCTTTGAAATTAAGGCACTTTTTAATTCCTTTGTCGTAGAATTCGGCCGCCTGCGTCTTCAACCACTTGGTTACCTCTTATTGCAGCTGTGCATCGTTATCAAAACGCTGCATAGCCAGCCACTTCTTCATTGCTGGGAATAAGTGAAAGTTGCTTGGTGCCAGGTCGGGAATATACGGCAGATGAGGAAACAACTCCCACTTAAAAGATTCAAGAACTTTGTGAGTGACATTGCCGGGTGTTGTCGTGAATCAACAGGATCTTTGAGCTTAACTTTCCCCGGCGCTTGTTTTGTATCGCTCTTTTAAGGTTTTGCAGAGGTTGGCAATACCTTTGAGAGTTTATTGTAGTGCCTCTTTCCAGGAAGTCCACAAAATTTACACCTTCCCTATCCCAAAAAACAGTTGCCATCACCTTCCTTGCTGACATCGTTTGCATGCACTTCCTAGGTTGGGGGAATTTGTGTGCCCCCACTGCGCGCATTGACTGCAGTTTCGTCTCGCAGTCCACATGTTTTGTCCCCAGTAACGATGCGATCGAGTAGTGAGTCACCTTCATTATCGTAAGCTGCAAGTGCTGCAGCCATTCGGTGATTTTTGTACCTTATAACTGCACGCACTTCACAGTTCGCGGCATTTTCAATTAACACAGACATTTTAAACTGCCACATTAACTCAAATGAGTACAGCAGAAACCTCTCACTAACACGACTAGGAGCACCTGGAGTGAAAAATTTTGTATTTTTAAAGCAGTTTAGTGACTTTCTACAGGCATTGATAATGTTTAAAACTGTATCCAAAAACTTCTGTAACGTTTTTATGACAAAATGTATGTTTAAATTTATTTGTCCTGGGTCCAATGAGGGAGGAGGCCTTAGCCCCTGTAGCCCCTCTCCCCTAAGAACCATCACTGTTCTTATAGGTTTTTTGGGGGGAATGTCTTGGACATTACACCTTTTAAGACTTCTCCCATAGTTTCTTATATATATTGAAAAATTTAATGAAGAAGAAAATGTAAGTTTACCCTTTCAATCCAATTAATCTAAAACTTAGCCTGGTTTTACAGGCTAAATCAAGTTATAGCAGTTTAAAAAATCGTGTTTTTTCGTTTTTATATGTCTGCCATTTTGGATTTTTTTGGGGGGGGGGTTAAAATTTGAAAATAGGGCTTTTGAAAATTTCATCATTAGTTTAAGATCCCATACTACAAAATGTCAAGTCCCTAGCACGTTTCTAAATGGTTCAAATGAGACCACCAAAGTCAACCCCTTTCAATGCTATTCCCCATAAGAATAACATGGGGAGATATTCAAGATTTTGGGGGGGTTATAATTTTAAAATGTCACTTTTCATCATTTTCCTGCGGGTTTGGGCCCAAGACCAAATTTCAACGCCCTAGCACTTCTAGAAGTGCCCAAACATTTGTATACCTGAGTCAGTTGCACATCCGGCTGTATATAACATGGTCTATGCTAGGATCTAATGCAGAACCAAAAGAGAAATTAAAGTTATGGGGAAGTGAATTATTATAAGACACTATAAAATATCATGGTTCTTCTCAGATATTAAGGACTGATTACGGCTTACAGAATGGGGAACTTAATATTTAAAAAAATTCCTAAACAATTGGAACAAAAGGTAAAGAAGAGAACCACCTTAGCTATGTATATAATTTTATTTGAACGTTTCAATATGCAATAACAGGAAAGTTGTTCTCACTTAAATATAGATTATGGATTTATGTTTAGAAAACTCTCAATCATCGTCGCTACGACGTTAAATATTCGTAGTAATAATTTTTTGTAACTTTTTGTCATTCTAGGGAAAAATTCATATTATATATCAATCGAAAACGATTTCTCGATAGTTAAACCTTAGTCTTAACAATACCAACAATAACAACATTCTTATAAGTAATAAATTCATCACATATTCGATAAGTTAAATTATAAAATTGATTGTGCGCACTAAGCCTAAGTAAGCTTAAAAACCCCTTCCAAAATGTGCCATAACTGTACATTATTTCCCGAAGCTGGTTAGAAAGTCAAAATGTGCAGAGCAGTGTACAGTGTACATGTAAAAGCCTAAACTCTACGGTTGAATATCTGCAATGTGCCCAAGGTACAAATAAAGGTAAACTCTAGGAGAAAACGGCAAAACTCGGCTGACTCCAGTTAATGACAGATAAATTATAAAACTTTTCAAAATTATGAGACAAAATTAAAACACTACACTTTTTGGAAAAGTTTTAGATAAAGTATATCAACAATGGACACAAATGTATAACATTAGTTAAAACATATATTTGTATAAAAATCCAAAAACATTTACTGACCTACTCTACTACCATGTATTTGTTAACATTATCTTTAGAAGACTATAAATTTACTCTAAGCTAAAGTCAATCTATAACGACTCCCATAGTCAATAGTGCAGATTCATAAATATAGTTTGTTAATATTCATTTAGTTAACCTTTTCTTGCATCTTTTAACCGATTTGAAATAGAAACAAAATTACAGAGTTTTATATCGTGAACACAGGAAGAAAGATTTTATGAAAATATACAACTAGCTATTTAATTAATTACAAACAAAAATAAATCTTTACATTTCTTTGACTACAACAAATTATCATATACATAAATCACTTATGTACTTCCAACACAGTCAAACGTTTCATAACACCATTCATTTTGTGCTACAACATTTTCGTGAAATCCGAAATTACAAACTAATAAAACCATTGAAAAATAAAATCTGGCAGCATTAACAACACATTTTTACACTGTTACGGAACGACCCATATCACGGGATTCGGTAATAACAAGAAAAAATAGCACTAGCGAACTGTCAGATAACTTGTGGTCAAATGGCAGCGAGAATCACAAACGATCAAGCATTGAGCAAAGCGAACTAACGTCCTACCTGGTCGTACAATCCAGTCCTCTAGTTACATTATGTTGATATATCTCCGAGTCATTAGTCTATAATGGTATAAAGTTAATAAATACTACTATGTATTATTTAAACATCGAGAAAGAATCTTACAAAATGTACATCATGGCAACTCTTACCGACAAATATTTTACAGAACAAGACCTTTTGGTATAACAAGCACCAGAGAGAAAAGTAACAATCACTTTGAGAGAAGACCCAACAAAGAATACAAGTATTACCTTTTGTGCTTAACACTTACGTTACATAATTTTTGTTCACGTTTTTAGACTTGTAAACAAAAATGTAACAGTAGAAATGGTATGTTATTGAACTTGTTTGCTAATTTCAGGATAAAAAGAACTTTTCAATTTTGGACTAACTTATTATTGGAATAATTAGAAGCCGGATTAATTTTGAAGCTACAAAAGATTTCAATTTACCAAGACCGAAGTTGACACAGCTATACATGCTTCCTCATATAAATACTCGTTAATAGGAGAACATTTAAAAGACAGTTTGTGCTCTAGCGAAATGTTAAAACATATTATTTTTTCAGAGATAACACAATTAATTTTGATGAGCAGCACTTTTGTGCACAGTAATTCTCAGTTAACTCAGCACATATGTGCGGCTAATACTGAGTTACAGTAACACAAGTACGCGGTCAGTACTTCAGTCTTGTACATATAAAATAGCTATTACTAGGGCGTTAAGTGACTTTTTTCAACACAAGCTCAGGAAAGCAAGGGTGGAGAAGATACTTTTTGCTCATGTGATGAACTATATCATAGATAAAACATACTCCCTTGGTAGATTCGTCATCCTTATGGAACAGCTGAAGCCAATTAATATTGTTAGTTCTGTACGTCGCACTGTAGAGGTCGTGTTTTGTTTACAATTTGTTTCTTGTTATTTGAGTCATTTAAATCCTCGTTTAACCAAATAAAACGATCTAATCATAAACAATAACTGGTCTCCTAGATAGATAACCAAATCAAGAAATTAACCCTAAAATAACAGAAAAAAGTTTGTCTGCACTACCGATCAGTGTCGACGTACATGAACTGGACACGAAAAACAAACTTCAAAATTTACAATGGGATGAAAAGTCTACTTGTGTTGGTTAGTCTATGATTATATTTTTTTGTCATATTGCACCAACAAGCTTAGTTACAAAACAAAAATAGTTTTCATGTAAAGATAAGCTCCCAAATTAACTTCCATCTTGTTTTGAATTGTTGTTAACAAGCAGCTCTGTTCAACCATTTTGTCTATCACAATTGTGTTGTGTGTCCATTCATCGATACTAACTAACTACCTATTGATATTCTGTATCAATAGTTCTCTTGAATTTCTTAGGCTTCCCGTGTCATTCATCTCATTAGATTCAACGTAAACAAAATTCAATCCAGTCGGCTACAATGAACAATTTGTAGCTTGCAAGACGAAGGGGCGTAAGTCAAAATGATATTAATATTCACTTATGCTCCTTCGTCTTGCAAGCGTTGAATTGATTGAAAACAATTAATACAACTGATTGCTTACAACTTACAACCGTAGTTAAGAAGTAAGAAAAATTTAAAACTGACGTGATCTACAACAGCTGGTTTTTACTCCCTAAGGAGCAAAATAGTTACTTTAGAAGCACAATTTATACATTGAAAACAGTTGTTTTTGCTGCAGTATGACAAAAATTAATGTTATAGGATTGTATTATTTTTCTAGATAACAATCAAATTACCTGTTGTTTATAATTACATATTTTAACATAAACAACTTGTGCATTCAGTGCTGATTTGAAATAAATACAAGTCAGAAGCACACATATGAATTATAAGTTAGAGATATTGAAGAAAATAAATGTTCTTTCATAAATAAATGCTTAAACAGTAAACACTATAAGGAGGTAAATTCTTATATAATATGACATTGTAGTATTGTATATTTGACTAGTTACAGAAATGATTCTTTCAGTAAACCTTTTACGCTTTTACGCTATGATTTGTTACTAGTAAAAATGCATTTTCTATTATTTTATATGAATGAATACTCAATTAGTTCCTATTATTAAAATACTGGATAAATATATGTGTATTGAATTGTTAACATATATTTACATATTTTTAATGGCTTAACAATTTTTAGTTTCCATTTTTAATAGGTCATTTTAAAAAGCGTTCAATTTTCAGATCCTACATAAACTTGCCCAGCAGCCTAAGTGGAACCGAATCATCTGATTATTCGTTCAAATTTGAGTTACCATTTGCACTAACAGCTGGATTAGGACATTGGACAGATGAGTAGGTTTGATATGTCTCTACAGAGTCTACAAGGCACAACTAATGTTAATCACAAAGATAATGCAACTAAATTTATTTTGTAGCTTAAACTGTTTATGTTGTAATCAATAAATCCCAATCATTCTATGGCTTTCCAAAAAGACAAATTAATCTCCTTCAACAAAAAAGATTTCACATTTCACACTATGTAGAAAAGTCGACATGATTAAATTTGAATATTGCAAGGACAATCACAATGCTGAAGCTGTGTTTACAGTAAAAAAATACTCTAAAAGGGGATCAATAAAAAAAAGTATTTTTGTAAACAGCCATAAAAACATATTTGTCTTGCTATTATTTGTCATAGTGTGCATTTCATAGTGAATAGCCAGCCTCATATAAATAAGAAAATAATGATAAAGATCATTTTGTAACTACAGCTTGTTTATAAACAGTTCAGAGTAAACAGTTTGTACATGCAAACATCTGGGAAGAAGGTAAGCATTAAGTATTTATAGAGGAAAACAGACAAACACGATCTAACGTCCTGGATAAGATCACAGAGCTCGAGTATACAGTATACTACTTCACCAGATAATAGAAGGGTAGCATATAAACAAATATTCTGGTATGGGGGAAGAGACAATGCCTATTGAAAGAATATAAAAATCAATATATGTTTGGTGAGACTTGACAGTGTATAAAACTTAAACTTATATTTTAATAACACAATGCCTTTGGAGCACATTAGGGAATAAATGAATTTCATCTCAATTTTATGATTACTTTTAAAAATCCGTTAAGATTTAGGAGTGACTTAAGTCTTTTAGTAACGCAACTCAAAGCGTTCGATACAGCTTAAGCGACAAAATACTCAGGATATTTCTCGATTCGTTCGTTCCTTAGTTAAGTACGTTACATCATCTCTTCCCGTTCCGCAGTTCACTCAAACTATAGACGTTATTTTTTTCTCGCTTTGTTCAATAGAGACTTGAGTCTATCGAGGGGAGATGTTTTCATGTCTAGAGCTGAGAGATATCTCGGAGGGAGGTGAACTTGCAGCGGATCTCGCAATCGTGTCAGGTCGAGTTCGGTTTTAGCAATTTCGTCCTTAAGGGCGTTGTACTGGTCGAGGTCGAGTCCGATCTTGCGAGCTCGCTTGTGGAGGATAATGAGGTGTTGGCGATCTCGGACATCGGGCAGGATGTACTCCTACAACAGTGACACAACAGCTGATCATAAATGGTTAAACTAGGGAATAGCTTCAACAACCTCTTAACCTCTCTGAGAAGTCTGAGAATTTAGGAAAAAATATAAGTGTTAAGTTTTGTGATCTTTTTATTTATCTTTTAGCCCCTGGACTATAATTTTCTAACTGAACACTCATTAAGTGCAGGCCAAGTTATCAGTAAATTGCCGGTTTTTCTGAGAGGAGTCAGAGATTTTATGATGGTTTGAGACTGGACCCAGCTGTTCTTGATGGAATTTTTAATTATCTTAGTGGTACCAGTGGGCTCATTGAATTTAAAATTTTAGAAATACATAGAAAATATAAATATAACACAGTGCCACGTTACAATATAATAATTGAAACATCTTAAGAACTACAAAAATTGTATATTACACTTTTAACACTTTTTAAACAATTATAATGGAAAAAGTAATGATGAAGGTGAGCCAATGCAACATTTTTGTTTTAATACCTAGCTCTCAGCATAACAGCATGCCACCTTTGGGATTCCCTACCCTAGACTATCAGGTACTTAGAATCCTGTCCTGACGGCGTACTACCTTGATAGGATGGCCATGGCTTGGTGCGATGGCCTGCGTTAGGCATGGTGTGGTGGAGAGAGACTGTGTGTGGGTGAATGTGTTTGTTTAGGTATTATGATTTTGTCACTCCTTAATACCTAAACAAAACATACACTTTCACCCACACACAGTCTCTCTCCTCCACACCATACCTAACGAACACCATCGCGCCAAGCCATGGCCATCCGATCAAGGTAGTACGGTACGCCGTCAAACCGGGATTCTAAGTACCTGTTAGTCTAGAGTTATTATTTAGTTTTGAATTTAAATCATGTTTGTAAAAATCATAGTTTAGTTTATATTTATATTGGCAATATTAACTGTGAGACAGGACCATGTGAGTCTAATGTTCGCATCAATAAATATTTGTAATTTAATTTTTCTCTTCCTCTGTTCTGTAGAGGTCTTCCACCAACATTGAGTTGTAATGCCACTATGCGCTCCTTGTTCAAAGTTTTCCAGCATACTATTACAATCATATATGTATAGTGTAAAATACAACTGTGAGGGAAAGGTAGTTGAAGATATAAAAATAATAAAATAAATAAATCGAAGGACCAGCCTAAATTAGGCAAAGAAAAAAATGCTAAATGAAGCAATTCAAAATTGATATTGTTGGGATTGGTCAGCTAAATATTTTACATAAATAAATTATATAAAAGAAGAAACAAGACAAGTTTCAATTTTTATATACAATGTTGTTCAATTTCTGAGAGTAAATTTGTCAAAAAAAAACCTTATATTGAAACTCATCGAGAATGTCAATCATTATTTTTTCAAGTTCATTGATGGAACCGTCTTGATAGATTCTTAGCTTCTTGAGGTATTTAAGTTCAAGTTCATTCCTGTCTTGATGATTAAAATATCACTTAAAAAATGTCTTTTCTTTCATGTAGAATTTAACAATGTTCACAATACGGATTGTATAATGTAGTTTAAAGTAAAATGAGTAATATTTGCTTAACCCTCCGAGTGTCCCTTGTTTTGGCCTTAATGTCTGCCTATTTTTTGCTCATTTGCAAGGTTTCATTAAAACGGATCTGAGAAGCTTGAAAACAATGTTAATTATACTGTTCTATATACCATTTTCTTTGGAAAATCATGGGCTTCAATATTATACATAAAACATAAGGAACATTTGTTTCAAAAAATTTGTTTAGGTAAAAAAAGAATATTTTGGAAAATTTTCAAAAAAAAATAAGTTTGCGCTCAATGAAATTGTATAAATTATAGGCCTATAAATATTTGAAAATAGCCACTTTGTTCTAAATTTTATGAAGATTACAAATACATAATAATATAAGGAAGTAGATTTGCAAATAAATAAGTTATGGGCAAAAAACAGATTTCAGTACATAGCGTTTAGCTAAGAATGCATAGCCTAACCACAGCTAGGAATCTGGCTGATAATTTACATCAATATCACTACCTACTTCTTCAGGATCATCAACCAGCCATTCAAAATCACTTAAATCTTCTTATAATGCACCACGTATATCACTACTTTTGATTTTTAACACTAAAACAATGATAAACGTAATAAAACACATCAGTCATCGGTTCAAGGTTAACCAAGCTGTTTACAAATACGCACGTCAGCTGTCTGCTACAATATTTTCGGAACTAAAATGAAAAGCGCTTAGAGACAGACCTCCGGAGAAAGCTCTGAATCTGTAAAATAAAACGATACCTAACTCGATCCAGTTCAATCCGATTTTGTCAGTCATAGAGCCTTTGTCGTAAACAGTGTTTGTGGGTCGCTGCAGCGACACAAAACACTACACTAAGTGTGTTATGTGTCGCTGCAGCGACAAATAACACTCGGAGGGTTAAATCCCATGAAAAATTGTATGTGGGTTTTAAAATAAAATTGAAAATAAAAATGATATGTAGTGATTGTACTGAAGATAGAAATACAATGTTTTTTTTATAATAATCAAAAATATGATGTAAATAAACATTAAATTAAATAACTTTCAGCTATCAAGAAATTGGGATGTGAAAGAAAAATAGGAAATTGCATTTAGAACAAAGAGGAAATAAAATTATAATATATTTAAATCAATTTTGAATAAAAGTATGGAAAAGTGATGAACTAGTACGCAACAACAACACTATCTACGTAAGGTTAAACTGAGCTAAAAAAAGGAAATAAAATAAACAAAAAGTACACCTGATTTAAATGAAGAAATGAAATAACAACATAGAAATAAGCAAAGCTGATTTGGGTTTTACATAAGTGTGGAAAACTGTAAAAAGGGATTGTGACTAAGAGAGATATGGCAAAAATGAATAGGATTTTCAGAAGGTTTCTTGTCAAGACAAAAATTTTAAGTATATAACCATGTACTTAAAATCTTGTTAAGTTCATCGGTACTTTTATTAATTTGATATAGTTGGTCCTAGCTAAAGGACCAACTGTTCTTAAGCTAGGTTTTCCTAGGCGCCGAAGCAGAGTGTGGAAAGCAGGATCCGCTCTCCTCGTTTGTAAGTAATTTATTGGTACTGTTTTCACAGAAGCGGAGCAGACACCACTAAAATCGCTTCTCCACACTCCACTCTTCGCATTCTGCCCTTCTTCTGCCCCGCTTCTGCATAGTAGTAGTAGTAACAAATCTATTCATCACTAATCCTTCACTCATATAGCAGGTAATGTAATGTAAGGCAGACTGAGGCAGCTCACCTGTTTGGTAAGTACGTAGTAAGCGTAGGCAGCCATGGCCGTTCCGTAGGTGACAAAGTATGTGACCGGCTCCATGATGTCCCAAGAGTATTCCCACCACGTGAGCCTGGCCAGTATCCCAAACTGAACTCCCATCAGTCCCAGTCCGACCCACGTCAGAGCGTTGGTACGTCTACACGCCAGCATCTCAAGGTCTTGTCTTTTCTGCAACAAACCAGTGAGATCTCTGTGTTTAGTGACTGATGCTTAGTGTTCAAAAATCTGTTGTACAATAATTTCATATGTAATACAAACATTAAAAACTGTTACTTTTATGGCGTTCCATGTTCTATCCCTGTAGGTTGTGTTGTAATTTCTAACTTACTTTCACCTTGCCTGCCTTATTTGTTCATAACAAATGATTGATGTCATATTAATATACTCTTGTGAGTACTCATTCAATTTTTGGTTCTATCTTGTTCCTAATTAGGCTAATTTGTGTTATACCTTAAACTGTCTCGTATTCATATAAAGGGTGGTCCATAAATAACGTATCATTTTTAACAAGTGTCAATCAGCTGTTAATAAGCGTTGAATTTTCTTTGTTGTATTAAACACAAACAAATGTCATACCATTTGAGTAATCATGGTTTGTTTGTTGGACAGTACAACATTGTGCCTTTTGCATTGAAGCCTATTTAAGAAATAACAAGTCTGCGATTGTGACTCAGCGGTTATTTTGAAATCATTTTAACGTCCGTCATCATGGTACGGTTCCCTCTAAGAATACTATCAATAGGTGGGTGTTTAATTCAAGAACTAAGGGACCCGTTCTCAAGAATAAACCTCCAGGGAGGTCAAAATCTGTAGAGATGAGAACATCGCAAGAGTTCGGGAATCTGTTCTCCGAAATCCAAAAAGATCGGATTTTTGAAAGAAAACATTCTGTTGCTTTAAGTGTTTCTAGGACCAGTTTACATCGTATTTTTCACGAAGATTTAAATTTACATCAATACAAACTGGTTGTTGCACAGAAGCTCAATCAAGGTGACCCTAGACTACGTCTGGTGTTTTGTCAAAGACTGTTTCAGCTGATTGAAGGCAAAACCCCTCTAGGGCGCCTTATAGTGTCAATCATGATTAATAAAAAAATGCAAAAAAAAAAAAAAAAAAAAATGATGGCTTCAATGCAAAAGGCACGGTGTTGTACTGTCCAACGATCCATGATTACTCAAATGGCATGACATTTGTTGTTGTTTAATACAACAATGAAAGTTCTACGACTAACAACAACTAATTGACATATGTTAAAAAATTATCCGTTATTTATGGACCAACCTTTACTAGGGAAATTAACCGTTGCAGTTTAGCTCTGCTAGTTTACCAACATCAGGTTGTATGGGCTGAATGCTGAACTAGATTTATTAATGACTTTTGTACGCTAACCCATATAAAGTTTGTTTATCCGAATAAAAATCGTGACCTAAAATCAAAATAGTTGACACTTATAATGGATAACTTGTAATGGTATTGGCTTACACACTGACTTCCTCATTTCCCTGACGTCAAACTGTGTTTTTTTTACAAAGGTAAATAAAGGACATTGTCTACCTGACAAAAACATTTAAAAATCAGGTAACAGTGGCAAAATAATTGATCAGACTACAATAATCTGTATTATATGTTTTACTTCGTACTTTAAAATTCAAATAATGTTTTTAGAAACATGTACAAGCATTATTAAAATAAGACAATAAACCTTAAAAAAAGAAGAAAAAACAACTGCCTTGACTAACCAAGAAATACATCCCTTATCTTAAGGGTGACAACCCTGTAGGGATTGTTTGCTTGTTATCTGTGTAAGCTACAAAGAGGTCAGCTGGTTTGTTTTGGTCATCGCACAACCCTCAGGCCACACTCCTTACAGAGCTTAATTAACAGAAGCTAATTAAACAAACAAACCACAGTTGTTGACTTTTGCAAGAAATTGTTTACAAAGAACATATCAGCTGGAAGAGACCCGGACCAAATTAAATGCTGATAACATTCTTTTTAACTTTTTAAAGTAATAAAACTTGGAGTGTGAGGTAATAAAAAAGGAATCCATTTAATAAGCCTGGTTATATATTCCCTAACAAAAGGTATACTCTAAGAAAATTACATTTTCATAAGCCTTCTTTACAGGATCTATAGAATGAGTAGATATTTCATCCTAACCTTTTCTAAGGGTTCTAATGCGACCCTCAGTTCCTCCAATTTTGTTAACAGCTCCCTCTCCTTCTTCAGTTGGTGTTCTTCTACATTTAGTGCTTCATATAATTGGTTAACTAAAGACCGGACATTGGATAACCTCTTGATTTCTTCCTGAAACAAAACATACATTTTATACATTACTGTCTGTAATTAGCCTACTATACATTTATTATTTACTACAACGCCCCTATGATGGAGGACCATGTGTGCCCTGTGCAATAGGATTTTCCTCACAGTGCTTGTTGCTTGAGCTCTACCTTCTTCGTCAATAAGTATGTTTCGGACACAACATACTAGACTGCCTGGGATGACTGTTGAAAGCGCACAGTCATCCCATAAGTTTCCTTTGTACCTTACTTCTCTGTGAGTTCTGTGTGAGTTGTCATTTTACTAAAGAGTTATGCTTGAATCAATGTAAACATTTTTAACTTTAGTGTGTTTTGATTCTTATGATGAAATGTACTAACAACATTGTTTTGACTTATGAGAAAAAAATGTCGCATAACTATAAATTTAATCTTATTTCTTTCAGAAAATTTGTTTGTATTTTTTAAAATTTAAATCATAAATATTTGGTGGAAAACAAGCAGGGTGACTTGGTTAATAGAGAAAAGTATGGCACAGTAAATATCACAGCACACTGCTAGGAAAAAGCAACTGCCATGCATTGTGATTTTAGGTTGGTAGAAGTGGCATTGTAGACATTGAGTTTCAGTCAAATTTCATCATTAGGAACATCTTTTTAACTTAGCTTATTCAATAACAGTTTAAAAGTTTTTTATTTTATTTTCTGAACTCAAACTAGTGTTTTGATGTTGAGCTGAAGTGGTGAAACTTCTATCAACCAAACGAGTTTATAAATGCCACACATTTTCTCTCACCTCTTCCCCTTCAACTACAACCAAAGCTTTTGATTCGTTTGTTCCGAAATTCAAGCCGAAAGAAGATAAAGAGTCCCAAACATAATTTACTGCTTGGTCATAAAGCGTTTGCCAATAATTTCTTTTAGGTTTAGAAATTGCAAAGCTTTTTTCGACCTAAAAAAACAAAGACTCAAATTTGTGAAAAAAAACACAAGTTTATTCTATGACAAAAGTTAATTAGAATAACAAAACATATTAGCTATAAATTTATTTTCAAACAAAAAAAGTCATGATGGAATCAAACTACAGTTATATGTATTAGAATTGTGCAGCCAAGCAAAAATTTACTATTAATTTAATTAATTAAAAAAAAATTATAAAAAACAACTTTTACAAAGGGAATTTAAATATACTGTAGTTTTCCTTTCTGATTGTTTGATCTTCCATATCAGCTTTATTTCACTAATCAAAAGTAACTCAGGATTGAATAAAACATAAAAAGATTGTGATTAAATATTCAAAACTTCAAAGGCTTAAAGTCTGTTAATACTTTAGTGATATCTTCAAGGAAGAAGGTGTTACTAGAGAAAAAAGGTCAATGATCTCCTTTATAACTCGTAAACCTCTGTGATACAAACTTACTTGCTAGTACTAGCCTACGTCAACAATCAATCTACCAAATATTAAATTTGTATATTACCTTTGAAAGTTTATCTTTTAATTCTGGTGTTTGGACAAGAAATTCTTTATCATTGACTGACAGCTTGAAATCTTCTTCCATGAGAGATTCTATCGAGTTGGAAGACGCTATTCGAACACCATCTGTTGAAAAAACAAGCAAAGGGGCATTATTTCACTATGAAATACGAATATATTTTATATAATTTAGAGTTAGTTGATAGGGTTTCATTAGAACAACTCTGTTAAATGTATTATTGTGTATTTCTTAATACAACATAGTACAACATAGCCCTACTTGATTCTTTTATGTTTATATCCACACAAAAACAGTGAGGTCAGAAAGTTTTGTAACACAATGTAAATGTAAATATGAAAGATGAGAAGGCGAGCTGAAGAGGTTGTTAGGGTTGAAAAGTTAATATTGGACCAAGTTAATGATGCCTCTATCTCCCTTCTAACCCCAAACTGAATACAATTATCTTTTACTTTGATGGTAATTATATTGAACAGTGGCTTTTGTTGTCAAATCAACTATTTTATGTTTCAAAAGATATATGAAATAGATGACACAATATTTCAGAGAAGAATGAATAGTGTAGTATTCCTCCAAGTAGCCACAAATTACTATTTCCATCTTATTGGGTATTAAAACCCAATTAAACTCACAAGCTTTTGTAAGGACTCGGGTATTGATAAATTATTAAAATTTTTAAAATGAAGATAGATAAATAAAATACAATTAATTAAGTATTTTCTCTTAGAAACAGTTATTTACTTTGATAGGACACTGAAATCCACTTTTAATGTCATGATTGTGTATTCAAAAACAAAAATACTATATTACAGAACAGTTTCGGACTTCACAAAGTTTTTCTGTTCTGATTATTGTGCTCATTTCTATGCTAACCATTTCTGACATATATAGCAGGATATATCAGAATATACCAAGAATATAGCGGAATATACCAATGATAGGATTATGTTGTTAACCTAAGTTTTTAGATTCTCAGACTTGAGTACAAGAGAGACAAGTTCAATTCTTAGGACTCACTTTAAAAGCGTTTTTGATTATTTCGCACAAAATATCAATGGCGTGGGAACTATCTTAAAAAATACCCCTGCCTCAGCAAGCCTGCAGACTGGGCAAGTTTCTATTTTGTATGATTAAATTTTAAGTAGCATTTTTCCTGAAACATCTCAGACTCATTTCCTATTTAAATTCATTAGATTTAACGAGTCCTTAGGTTTGCTTCTACGAAGAAGGGAAAAGTGTTTTTTTTATAGAATGTTAATTGTATAGGATGGAATAAGTACGTTAGACAAGTTTGATCAAAATATCTCCATATACAAGCAAACTACAGCCGTTTTCTTTTCTTACATAAGAATACCATATTTAAGCTTAACAGATTTTTGGAAGTTTTTTGTGGCCTTTAATTGTACAACAATGTTTCCACACAAAATTGTTTGTTTTTTAAGCTCTACATGATGGCTGATATGGAGAATTCGCTGAAAAGACCTACCTTTGGTACAGATGGCCACCCTGTCGATGCCCTTATCCTCATCTCGCAGCATGGTCAGGAAGTCTCCCACAGTGTTGCTGATGGGCCTGAGGGTGAAGCGGCAAAGTTCCCTCCTGGAGGGTAGTGGTACTGTGACTTGAGGCAATCCTCCTCTATACTCTACCTTCAACTCTGCAACAAAATGATCCTGGATATAGAAACAGCTGATGTCAGTAACAAATCCATACAGATCATCTCACACTATTCTAAACTCATCTTACAATCCTAGTTGATGTGTCAATATTAATTTTTTATACTAGGACGCTAGGGGCTAAACTGGGATCGTTTTTCACATGACCTAAGACTAAGCCTAGGGGTTTGCGTGAATTGTCACTTAGATGATTGGTGATTGGTGGGATTTGAACCCAGGACCTCAGGGTCCTAAGTCCTACGTTTTCCCACTAGACCAGCTTGCTCCCCCCAACTTTGGTTTCCCTTTAAAACAAATAAATCTTTCGCCTAAAAAATGATATGGCAAGTAATTTTACTCATTAGTTGGGTTGTTCAAACAGATGTACACAATGATAGGCTTACCTTTGTGTATATTTTTACAAGATTTATATAGCCTACTAATAACATTCAAATATCACAATTTCAATATTGGTTGGACAAAAAATATTTAATTTCACAAATTGTAATTGAGTTATATCTCTTTAGGTGCAAACAGCAAGTAGGTTTACATCCAAATATTAGGACACCCAATGACAATTTCAATGAACTCATATAATAACTCGAAACTTTAAACCTTTAAGAATTTCCCTCCATTTTTTTAGAATGTTTCACACAAAATGCACAAGGTTTTGTCATGGTATACTTTGTTGAGAAGGAATTTCAAGCAGTTTCAAGTACAAAGCTACATAGATCATCCACTACCTCTAAAAATTTTAAAAATTAAGCCCCAGACTCAAGGCTTAACATTCCTTCAAAATTAATCCGATGATGGTTAAGAGAAAAATAAACATTTTTAGACAGGAATTTAATCTATAAACTTTTGTTACAACTTCATCAGCTTCAGGAGCCTAATGAATGCTGGCTATATAATGGCTCTTTGAACATAACAGGCCTGGCTGCAATTAGGAAGAAAATAAAAGAGAAATTTGGAATGAAGAATAATAGGTCATCAAGTTAATGAGTATTTTTAGCAGCACCCTGGTGCTTTTGCTCTAAAGTTTATAAGTAAACAAACATAACAAATTAATACTTCAGTAAACCTGCAAACTAAGTGTATTTCAATCCGTCTAATTGCGTTTAAGGTAAAATAAATTGATTTGCCAAAATTGTATTAATATATATCAATAAACAAACAAACTACAAAAGAGTAAGTAACAAAAGAATAACATGGGGATGTTATAATATGATTACTTTTGTAATTTAATTTACCTTGTTTAGGACTTGTAATGTATTATATTGTTAACCTTACAACATATTATTTATTATTTTAATATGTTCATTTTAACTTATAGATATGAATAGGATTATGTTTTAAGATACGTTAGTTTCAACAGTACAGTAACAGCCTTTAGTTTTTTTATAAATATATATACTAGTATAGAGGAAATATATAAAAAGAGTAGGCTACTGCAATGTCCTAGTATAGTAGAAAAACTAAATCAATTACATGTTACAGTTATGTCAATCAACTGCCTATAATAGAGCCAATATGGGACAAGTATGCCAGCAAGGTCCCATGTTTGGAATGCTTTAATTGAAATATTATCTACAGTATAACCTAATTACCTCACTAGAATTTGCATATTATCTTGTAATCAATACTAGCATTGGCTATTGGATACTGAAGTATTAATTGTGTATTAATAGTCAAAGATACTATTTATGATGTGACACTATAAATAATTAATAAAAAAAGTTAGACGAAAATTTCCTTGTCCACAAATATTTTACAACTTAACGAATTTCCCAAATTGCAAAGAGTCATAAAACAGTTTGAATAAAGGATTATGAATCGAATTAGTTTCTTTATGATGTTCAACAATCAAGCCTAACTATCTCTAAGTTGCATCAACTTTATTTACTGAAAATAATTTTTACGATAAAACAACATTATTTTGATCTTGTGCCATTCGGCTTTTTATATTATACTTTGCTGACATTGTAGAGCTTCGAGTTAGTAGGGTGTTCGATGTGTCTGATATGTTATTTAGAAAATATCACCTCTTTGTGAAACACCCTATACATGTTTCACTTTAATCATTTCACGAACCATTTTTACAGGAGTTCTCAACGTGAGAGACAGAGAGAGAGGTATGTAGTGTGTGTGAATCAGAGTACCATGTCTGTATAGCGAGTGTATTACTAGCAAGTGAGGTAGTGTTCTGCGCCGTCGCGGTGCCTACACAAGGAGGCCGGCCTCAACACGGCGTCTTCTCTACGCAGTGCTACAGTTAGTGCGCGTGCGTCGTGAGTGTAGCATACCTACAGAGCTGGAATACCGTAAGTTACACACTTTAATAATACAACTAATGAATACTGATTGCCGATACAAATTGCCAGGACTGTTGTTGATTTTGTCCTCAAATTATGTTACGAACGTTTTTTTTTCTAAGAGGGACTCCTAATAAGGACGGGTATTACTTGAAGATGGTGCAGTGGCTATCGTTTCCAAATATTTTGGTTATTACGTTTGCCATAAATACATATAAAATTGTATAGTGAGTATGATATTAGGTATCCTCCTAAAAATAGGTAGGACAGAAATCCTAAAAGCTAGCCTATTAGTAATTCTTACACATCCAGAAAAGGTGCATAAATTCGATCGCAGTATGTGTATGATACAGCTGTACAATAAAAAATCACACAGTTTGTAATTAAGTTAATCGACATAAGGGCACAACCGAGCTGGATATTAAATAATAATAATGCAATGTTTCTAACTTCTTATATCAGTTAAATATATTGTGTTTGCCATAGATATCTTGACATTTTTAGTCGCTAGATGTTTCGGTGAAATTTAAACGAGTTAGAAAATAAACACAATACAAGCTACTATACCTGTGCTACGCAACGGGAAGAAACACGGACGAGAATGCTGTTTTTAGATCTGACGTATAAAATAGTTATACATCTCTATTATTAATTTTAAAATAAAAACTATATTTTAGCACCTAGTGAAGCAGAATGGTTTTCTTTATACTACAAACGTGATATAAATTTCCTTTGCCGCCATTACAGTGTATATAAGTATTGCTCAAGTGTGTTTAAAATACTTTGACTCTATGATTTCTTTTGAAAAGATAAACTTATTTAAAAGTACAGACTACTTACTTTCAAACCTTACTTGTATTTGATATCAATAGACCCAAAAGAAGCTAACAACATACGATGTAGTAATAAGATTTATGTGTAACAATAAGATCAATTACTTGATTGATGTTGATGCTTCACAAAAAAGATGTTTTACAACATTTTTTTAATAATTTTAGTCAAGCCTCTGTACTTGTAGCTTACTATACAAATTACAAAGAAAGCTGTGATAAATATTCTACAAAACTTGTACGAACTTTCTTTAACCAAACATAACCTTCATACTAAATGACACACACATTTCCTTAATGTAAATAAAGCACAGAAACATCTAGACAAGCACCAGTTAATTACATCGACCAGCTATTTAATTTTAAAAAATTAAATCAAACCATTTCAATTTTGGAATCATGTAATGCGTAGGTAGCCCTTTCGGTCAAAGCCCTTATGAAATTCGTTCATACCAATACTTTTCTGCAAACCTACACACTATAAATCTCTTTTTTGCCTATGTTTTCATTTAGTAAAATACCTCAAGCGATGACCAAAGATTTTACTTGAATAATAGATCATGGAAACAATGTATGTCAACAGAAAGAACAAGTGTGAAAGGCTAACACTTTGCTGGTTCTTTAAACATTAAGTAGAGACTAAGGAAGAAAATAAAATCCTGTGTAGAGTCTAAAATGAAGACAACCAGAAAATTGATTTGAACATCAATAAATCTCGATTATCATTCTAAACCAAACCACTCAAAAGCAACTTTCACGCTCTATCAACATCGACATTTCAGTTATTAAGTTCATGACAACAAATGCTTAGTTATTATAAATACATTGCGGGGGTGAAATTCGCTTATTTCAACATCGATTTTCCTGTAAATCATTCACATAAGAGACAACTAGTATAACGCGTTTAGAATTTAACAGAAACACATCAAAAGTTTCTATTCAAACAAAAAATAATATCTTGAATAAATATAACTGAAATCCAACACAAATGTAACACTGAGAGAGTATTTTTACCTATCCAAAATAATAAATAAATGAATTTATATGTGCCTTTAAAATATGCGCTCTTCAAATTTAACTTATTTATCTAACAGAACCCAGCGGACTAGTGTAAACGATAGTGAACATGATTATATATTTTATACCAGTGAGTCGGCTACAGTCCTTCTAGCTTGAGTGTATTTTGTGCAATTCAGTGGTAATCATCCCACACAGGGTTTGACCTCGGGATGTACACTTTATTGTTCCAAAGTGTGTTTTTTATAAATGTACAAACAGATTAGCATTTTAGCATTTTAAAATGGATAGTGTTTAAGTGAAACATGTAATTTAGTTAGTAGTGTGAATATTCTGTTATATTATGTAAAGAGAATAATAAAGAGTTTCATTCATTCACTCAACTAGGTTTAGAAATACACATTTTTTCGTTTGTTAAGACATTGGTGTTGTAAAAGTCGTCAAAATATTGTGCGTCATACTTATATTGAAGTGTTTGACGACTATTCACAATACCTACCACTGATGATAAGGATTGTTCTTAATAGCGTTGTATTCAGCTTAATAACAAACCATACAGAAATCCATCTAAAAAAAAAAAACAAAAACAGTATCACTTGACAGTAGGCCTACAACACATATTAAACCTATTTATTTAATAAATATACATAAAAATATTCGTGAGGTACACAACGTAAAAGAGTGCAGAAAATACAAGTAAAATGTTGGATACTATTTTTGACAAGTTATTAGAAATTAAAATTACACAGAGGTCTTAGCTCGCGTCTGGGCCTGAGCTATTGGCGAAATTAACTTAAGCTGAAAAGGTTTAAGTAAAGATATAGAAAGATTACTACCACTTCT